TATCATATCAGATTAAATAATGTTAAAGAGTATGATAGTACCATACAATTTCATACATTATAGTAGACAGTATTATACAATGACATACATTATGAAAGTACAGTATTATACAATGACATACATTATGATAGTACAGTATTATACAATGACATACATTATGATAATACAGTATTATACAATTTCATACATTGTGATAATACATTATTATGCAATGACATACATTATGATAGTACAGAATTATACAATGACATACATAATGATAATACAGTATTATACAATGTCATAAATTGTGATAATACATTATTATGCAATGATATACATTATGATGGTACAGTATTATACAATGTCATGCATTATGATAATACAGTCTTATACAATGACATACCTTATGATAATACAGTATTATACAATGATATACATTATGAAGGTACAGTATTATACAATGATATACATTATGATAGTACAGAATTAACAATGACATACATAATGATAATACAGTATTATACAATGAAATACATTATGATAATACAATATTATACAATTTCATACATTATGATAATACAGTATTATACAATGACATGCATTATGATAGTACAGTATTATACAATGTCATACATTATGATAATACAGTATTATACAATGATATACATTATGATGGTACAGTATTATACAAAGACATACAATATGATAGTACAGTATTATTATGATAATACAGTATTATACAATGACATGTATCCAATGATATACATTATGATAGTACAGTATTATACAATGTCATACATTATGATAATACAGTATTATACAATGACATACATTATGATAATAAAGTATTATACAATGACATACCTTATGATAATACAGTATTATACAATGTCATACATTATGATAATACAGTATTATACAATGACATACTTTATGATAGTACAGTATTATACAATGACATACATTATGATGGTACAGTATTATACAATGACATACAATATTATAGTACAGTATTATACAATGACATACATTATAATCTTACATCACATTACAGTGAATTACATCATAGTTTAATACAGTATTGCGCAATGCAATGAATTATAACAATAAAACATATTACAATGAAATACATTATAACCGAGCACGGCATAATGCAATGGCATACATCTTGAAAGTACAGTCGACTTTAAAGGTACAGCTCATCTATAGGTTTACACCGGTAGTGTTGTAGAGGGAAGTTATCAGTAATTTACTGATATGTTGCTCCTCTAGAAATATTTTGAATATCAGATACTCGTTCCGTGATGTACACTGTGACATACTACATAACAACGTCCTACGTTGTAGGTAATGACAGTAAAATAAAATAAAATGAAATAAAAATATAAGCAATATGATATAAACATTATAATTCTTTCAGAATTTTACAATGAGATAAGCCATGCATCATGATCATACTGAGTATACAGTACGATATAATGTCTTTGTTTAATCACATTGAAAGTCTTTTTCCTCTCACAGCCATCTGTTTCCATAAATCACATAATCCTAGTCTAAGCTCGGTTTGATATACAAAAACAACCATCATTTGGTGGCACCCTTTCCTCGAAACATCATATTAAAAATTATTTATAGATTTCAGTTTTCTCCAATATTTAAGATCTTACAGCTTTTGTCTTCATGCCGAACGAGGTAACCTTCCTAACTCACAGTAATCGAACATTCTACATGTTTTCTTTGCAATCATAATCATTGTGCATCTTTCCATCATCCAACACTTTGTGAAATTTCTATGTTTCTGAGCTGTAAATAAAAATGCTACAAATGTGTTGAAAACAGATATCTGTGTCTGAATATTAAAATTGTGATTATTTATATTGCTTTTGAGAAAGTATTACGTTTCTATTCACAAAATTTCACAACTTATCACAGTACTTTTCTTCTAATACATGAATATAAACAATAACTTGATAAGGTAATTTATGCAATATATATAAATTGTATATGGAAATAGAAAAATTGGAGGAAGAAGACACGGAGAGACAGGAAGTAAAGAATAGTAAAACAGGTAGAGTCAGAGAGAAAGAAAAAAAGAGAAAGAAAGATGATCACATTCAGCAAAACCGGTTGCATTTCTTCATATAATTTTGAAGATTTTGCAATTAAAGTATTTTCTTCTTTGTTCAATTTTTGTATTGCCATATAGGAGTAAATTTAACATTACATCTTCACGGAAGGTTGTAACTCTCTTATTAATAGATTACGATGCTGGGCGTATAGGGGACAGACACAGAGGAAGTGATAAGAGTCTTCACATGGATTACCGCATGCACATTCAGCTGTATCAGCTAAATTTGCTCTAAAAACGTCATACATAGATTTATTCTGATATAATTAGGATTTTACAATCCTTTGACAGTCAGCTCTGAAAATTACGGAAGCCAGTTAGGGTCACCGGAAAAAATAATATTATGTCGTAATAACGACTTAGTATCTCGTAATAACGACTTAGCTATGTCGTAATAACGACTTAGTATCTCGTAATAATTTTTCCAACTTATCAATTGACTTCTCCCGTGATACAGACAAATATAACAGTACACAATTGTCACATGATGGTAAGAAAATAAATATGTTATTAATGAATTGGATTAATTAGAGAGAGAGAGAGAGAGAGGGAGAGAGGTTGGATAGAGAGGAGTGGGGTTGGTAGTTAGTCAAATCTACCCGATCTTCCCAGGAAACACTATATATGTCTCTGAACTAAGTCAGTATTTTGGTTCGAATCCGCTTGAGTACACTACTTTTTTATTTGTGATTTTTAATATTTAGATACGGGAATTTGAGTCTAAAACATTGCGAGATATAAAGAACGTAGTTATATATTGTTATGCCCTTAACCTTGTTTTATTTCGTTTTGTTTTTTTCTATTTTATTATTTTATCGGTTTTATTGCAACGCTTATGGTAATTAAGGCAATAAATTAAGGCCGTAAAAGTAATTTATAATTTAATTTAAAATAAAAATAAATAAATTCAAAGTCATATTACAGCAGAGACGTATATTACATGTAACATATATGTCTCTGAGGTGTGTTCTCCTTTCTCCCACTTTTTAAAAAAAAAACATAGAGGCGATTATGTTGTGATAGCAGTTATAGTCTGTTTCATATATATTTTACCTGGTTTTTACATGTGTTTTCCCACATTACCTGTATCATATATACAGTACTGTCATATACATGTAGCTTTGATATAGTCTATTTTCATCATTTTTAGACAGTTTTTTCATATCATATACCATTTTTATCAGCCAGATCTATACAAAACAGTAACGTGAAATCCACAAATATTTTATATATTTAATAGTATATATAAAGATAATTATGCTTTGATTAATTTAATTTTTAAATTTAATTTAAATTTATTTAATTTAGGGTGAAGCGAATTTTTTTTTTTTTGACTTTCGTTTTTTTTTCCCAAACGACTTCACATTTTTCACCTGCAAAAAGATAGGAGTCCAACAACTGGTTATATTCAAAACGTCTTTTTTTAAGGGGGGACTTAATGGCAGACGCCCATCCTGTTCCCCGGACATTTACCAAAGTGGGGAGGGGGCTTATTTGCGAGAGGGGGCTTATTGCCGGTAAAATACGGTATTATGGAATTTTTATTTGGTGCTTTGGTGGAATTTCTTAAAATTATGGACTTTTCATTATCTGTGCTTTTTATGGACTTTCCAATATTTCATTTTTAGTAAGTTAGTGCAATTATATTAGTTTTATATCATGTATCTTTGTGCATGTGTGCATTTTATGAATATGATTGATTTGCTCAACCAGTGATAAGTGTTCCATTTGTACATGTAATTAATTTTGTTTTATTTATTTTCATTCACAGCTTTGCATCTGTTTTTGCACATTTAATAATGTAATGCATGATCACTGTCTTTACTGATTATGTTTGTCATAAATTGCTTGCTAAATTTAGTTCGATTTTATGAAATATATATATAACATAAATGTAAATGTATAGTAAAAATGTATAAAATTGATTTAATACGAAATTAATAAAAGCAGGTTTTCAGTTAACGTATTTTTATGGGTTTTTTTAAGTAATAACTGGAATTTTGTATATATTTGTTAAATATTCCTATAACTAACACAATATTCCTATAACTAACACAATATTTCCTATTGCTGAACAGGTAAATAATCTACCTGAACTATACCAGAACACATCTATTGTTTTCCAGTGTTTATATAATTCCTTTGATCAGAAAAAAGTGGGAGAAAGGAGAGCAAACCTCTGATTACAGTAAACGTTTTTATTACATTAAATAAACTTTTATAACCGAGTGTTGCTAAATTTTATTTTATTCTTTTTTCCCTGTTAAAAGTTAGGTAATCAATGTGATGCGTACGTATTGTTAATAAGTGTAGTTTGCAAGTAATTTGAACGTAATTTATCCGTTTATTTCATAAAGTATTTTCTTATGTGTGCGTGGTTTTTTTCTTTGTAAATTAAAGATAATTGCAACAAACTATAATTATCTGTAGTTTTCAATTCATGAAAAGGCAACTGCTATGTAAAGGTTTTATAAATATAGAACCTTAAGTGCCATGATTTTAGTCTAACTAATTTCTCGGTAACAAAGGTGGTTATATTTTTATCTTCAATTTTTGGTACAAATAGCTAGTCTATGTATGATTAACTTTAATCAATATTTCATCCATGAATTATGTCACCTACGTATTACCTGAGAAATATTTCAACTTTTCGTATCCAATCTTGAAATACGTTCACGTTGTGAAAGAAAAAATAGTCTGTATTTGATTTTATTTCCCCAATCTACTGGCGTCAGCAAATATCCATGAAGTTAACAGATATTTTAAAATTTGTTGGCCAATACACAGGACAGAACAAGCCTATACAACACTAAACAGGCTTGTTTTCTTCGTTTTTACTTACCTGTACTGAAATTTACCTGTTCGGAATATTTGGAACAATCCGATTGGTTGTCCACTGTCATGTGATTTTAGGCCGTCACGACGCCATATTTGTAGGACCCATTGACACTTTTACAGGTGGGACTTTGGTACAATTTAGAAGAAAGTTGGACAACTTTTCGTCTACAAAATGAGCGAAGGTGAAACGAGACCTCGTCTGTGTCATCTAGTTAAATGGCCAGAATTTGCAGGCTATGGTTTTAACTTGCACGCTGAACGGGGCAAAGCAGGTCAGTACATCGGGAAAGTCGACGAAGGTTCGCCGGCGGTGGCTGCAGGGTTGAAAGAATCCGACCGCATAGTTGAAGTAAATGGAACAAACATCGGTAACGAGAACCACCAGCAAGTGGTGTCAAGGATCAAGGCGGGTGGTGAAGAGGTAACACTGCTCGTAGTAGATGCTGAGACTGACAATCATTATAAAGAACAGCATATGCTGGTGACAAGTTCCGACGTAAATGTGTTGAGGCAATCGGCAGCCCGCGACGAGCCACGCCCGGTAGAACCCGAGACCCCCCCACCAGGTAATAATCCCAACCACACCCCGTTTTACTCCAGTCCTATAGTTGTGTATTGGTAACTGTTGATGTCCTACCACGCCTCTGGCGGACTTTCGAGTTTTGGCGAAGGTCCTATTTAGTGACTCTCGCCGCCACACCCCCCAACAAGTGACCTAGAAATTATTAGTACTGTTTACATGTACCGCATATATACATACAGCATATCTATGTATTTAATGCCAACTCCATTTTGTAAATACACATTTTGCTAAGCCTGACATTTATTAATCATGGTGTAAAATGATAATTTAGTATTAGACACACCATTTAACTATTTTTTTTAAGATATGTAGCAAATTGTGATACATTGTTGTACATTGTATACATAATATCTGGGGTACTCTAACCAATTGTGTATGGACTGCTTATTGATTTGAAATGCATGTCATTGAGGTTTATTTGGGTACAGTATACATTTTGTGACAATGTGGGTATATTTGGGTTGTGTACAGTAGGTGTCATTGCAAGTATATATGAGTAATTGAGTACTGTATCAATGTGGGTATGTTTGAGTACTGTATCAAGGTGGGTATGTTTGTGTACTGTATCAAGGTGGGTATGTTTGGGTACTGTATCAAGGTGGGTATGTTTGGGTACTGTATCAAGGTGGGTATGTTTGGGTACTGTATCAAGGTGGGTATGTTTGGGTACTGTATCAAGGTGGGTATGTTTGGGTACTGTATCAAGGTGGGTATGTTTGGGTACTGTATCAAGGTGGGTATGTTTGGGTACTGTATCAAGGTGGGTATGTTTGGGTACTGTATCAAGGTGGGTATGTTTGGGTACTGTATCAAGGTGGGTATGTTTGTGTACTGTATCAAGGTGGGTATGTTTGGGTACTGTATCAAGGTGGGTATGTTAGGGTACTGTATCATTGTAGGTATGCTTGGGTACTGTATCAAGGTGGGTATGTTTGAGTACTGTATCAAGGTGGGCATGATTGAGTACTGTATCAATGTAGGTATGTTTGTGTACTGTATCAAGGTGGGTATGTTTGGGTACTGTATCAAGGTGGGTATGTTTGGGTACTGTATCAAGGTGGGTATGTTTGGGTACTGTATCAAGGTGGGTATGTTTGGGTACTGTATCAAGGTGGGTATGTTTGGGTACTGTATCAAGGTGGGTATGTTTGGGTACTGTATCAAGGTAGGTATGTTTGTGTACTGTATCAAGGTGGGTATGTTTGGGTACTGTATCAAGGTGGGTATGTTTGGGTACTGTATCAAGGTGGGTATGTTTGGGTACTGTATCAAGGTGGGTATGTTTGGGTACTGTATCAAGGTGGGTATGTTTGGGTACTGTATCAAGGTGGGTATGTTTGGGTACTGTATCAAGGTGGGTATGTTTGGGTACTGTATCAAGGTGGGTATGTTTGGGTACTGTATCAAGGTGGGTATATTTGTGTACTGTATCAAGGTGGGTATGTTTGGGTACTATATCAAGGTGGGTATGTTTGGGTACTATATCAAGGTGGGTATGTTTGGGTACTGTATCAATGTGGGTATGTTTGGGTACTGTATCAATATAGGTATGCTTGGGTACTATATCAAGGTGGTTATGTTTGGGTACTGTATCAATGTGGGTATGTTTGGGTTCTGTATCAAGGTGGTTATGTTTGGGTACTGTATCAAAGTGGGTATGTTTGGGTACTGTATCAAGGTGGGTATGTTTGGGTACTGTATCAACTGGCTATTATAGGGCTTTTGTATCAATGCAAGTTCAACTCTTGTCTCTCTGAATCATATACTAATTAATTAGTCTACACTGTGTGCAGTCTGCATGTACATATACATAAAGTATGTACACTGCTAAACACTGCCTTTACTTGAAAAGATTAATTTACAACCATTATGTAAATCAAATCACACCGGCACAGACACCGGTAAGTGCTTTTCACCCTAAATAATGATGAAGTAATAAATAATTGATATTTTGTATTGACCAATTGCAAGTTACCGGTGTATTTCACACCTACAGATAAGAAGGTGTCTGGCCAAATTTTAGTTTATATCCATATTCATGCATGTACATGTTTAACAGGAGATCTAGAAAAAAAACTGCACAGCCAGATCAGGACTCTAACCCGGGACCCTCCAAACTCTATATGGACGCTCTACCAATTTAGCTACCTGTTTGTCGGTGAACAACCCAGTCCAGTTTCGTTGCTTTCCTCTTTTTTTTTTCTAAGCCTTTGCCCTATAAACAAAGCATTATCTACAATCCCCCAGTTTTCACCCGGTCCTTGAAACAAGGGTTGGCTTATATCAGCACCACTGTTAACTGGAGAGAAAAAGTGCATTGCCAGCATTTAAATCTGGGACCTTCCAAACTTTAGAAGGACACCCTACCAATTAAGCTACCTGGATGCCAGTGAACGACCAAGCCCATATTTGCTTCACATGCACAGTGCAGATAATATAAATATGACGGCTTATGCAAGATACTGAGAATGTAACTTGTATGGTTTCCATTTGATTGCATATACCTAGCGTTATTCATATACATGTAAAAGCGAAAGTAGATAAATGTAAAACTCACCTTACAGGGGTTCTATCCTGCAGATATACCATTTGTGTAAGGAACATCAGTACAGAGTCTGTGTTGGGCTGATTGGAGCCATTCGGGGAAAATTAACGGAAATATAAAAAATCTATCCAAGTATCACTATGATATATATAAGTAGAATTGTAATGACTTTAAAAGCTACCCTATATTTTTTGTACAGGAAGCAAGGAAGTCCCTAAATTGGCTTTGATTTTGTCTTATATTCACTAGGGGTTTTACTGCTATACTTGTCACAGGTACATATACATGTATATCAAAAGTGCACTGTCACCCAAAATGGGTTATAGGTCTTCATTAACAAAATAACCTTTGGTATGCCTAACCGGCAATGTGTCTTGATTTACAGTGATCTCACTAGATATTTAAACTATCTGGGTCAAGATAGATTACACTGATTAAGTTAAGATAGATTACACTAAGTAAGTTAAGATGGATTACACAAGTAAGTTCAGATAGATTACACTGAGTAAGTTAAGATGGATTACATGAGTAAGTTCAGATAGACTACACTGAGTAAGTTCAGATAGATTACATGAGTAAGTTAAGATGGATTACACTGAGTAAGTTCAGATAGATTACACTGAGTAAGTTAAGATAGATTACATGAGTAAGTTAAGATAGATTACATGAGTAAGTTAAGTTAAATTACATGATTAAGTTAAGAGAGATTACACGAGTAAGTTAAGATAAATTACACAGAGTGAGTTATTACATGGGTTAGAGGCCACTCTTGGAGTAAGTGATTACATGGGTTTGAGCTGCCACTATGGGAGTATTAGTTATTACATCGGTTAGAGCTGCCACTATGGGAGTATTAGTTATTACATCGGTTAGAGGCCACTATGGGAGTAAGATATTACGAGGGTTAGAGGCCACAATGGGAGTAAGTTACTACCTTGGCTAGAGGCCACTATGGGAGTAAGTTATTACCTTGGCTAGAGGCTAGGCCACTATATGGGAGTAAGCTATTACCTAGGCTAGAGGCCACTATGGGAGTTAGTTATTACCTTGGCTAGAGGCCACTATATGGGAGTAAGCTATTACCTAGGCTAGAGGCCACTATGGGAGTAATTTATTACCTTGGGTAGAGGCCACTATGGGAGTAAGTTATTACCTTGGTTAGAGGCCACTATGGGAGTAAGTTATTACCTTGGCTAGAGGCCACTATGGAAGTAAGTTATTACCTTGGCTAGAGGCCACTATGGGAGTAAGGTATTACCTTGGTTAGAGGCCACTATGGGAGTAAGTTATTACCTTGGTTACACTATGGGAGTAAGTTATTCCCTTGGCTAGAGGCCACTATATGGGAGGAAGATATTACGAGGGGTAGAGGCCACTATGGGAGTAAGTTACTACCTTGGCTCGAGGCCACTATGGAAGTAAGTTATTCCCTTGGTTAGAGGCCACTATGTGAGTAAGTAATTACCTGTGCTAGAGGCCACGATATGGGAGTAAGATATTACCTTGGGTAGAGGCCACTATGGGAGTAAGATATTACGAGGTTAGAGGCCACTAAGGGAGTAAGTTATTACCTTGGTTAGAGGCCACTATGGGAGTAAGTAATTACCTTGGCTAGAGGCCACTATATGGGAGTAAGATATTACGAGGGTTAGAGGCCACTATGGGAGTAAGTTATTACCTTGGTTAGAGGCCACTATGGAAGTAAGTTATTACCTTGGTTACACTATGGGAGTAAGTTATTCCCTTGGTTAGAGGCCACTATGGGAGTAAGTAATTCCCTTGGCTAGAGGCCACTATGTGGGAGTAAGATATTACGAGGTTAGAGGCCACTATGGGAGCAAGTTATTACCTTGGCTAGAGGCCTCTATATGGGAGTAAGATATTTCGAGGGTTAGAGGCCACTATCGGAGTAAGTTATTACCTTGGGGAGAGGCCACTATATGGGAGCAAGGTATTATCTTGGCTAGAGGCCACTATGGGAGTAAGTAATTACCTTTGCTAGAGGCCACTATATGGGAGTAAGTTATTATCTTGGCTAGAGGCCACTATGGGAGTAAGTTATTACCTTTAAATTGGCTAGAGGCCACTGTGGGGGTAAGTTATTACCTTGGGTAGAGGCCACTATGGGAGTAAGTTATTACCTTGGCTAGAGGCCACTATGGGAGTAAGTTATTACCTTTAAATTGGCTAGAGGCCACTGTGGGGGTAAGTTATTACCTTGGGTAGAGGCCACTATGGGAGTAAGTTATTACCTTGGCTAGAGGCCACTATGGGAGTAAGTTATTACCTTGGCTAGAGGCCACTATGGGAGTAAGTTATTACCTTGGCTAGAGGCCACTATGGGAGTAAGTTATTACCTTGGCTAGAGGCCACTATGGGAGTAAGTTATTACCTTGGCTAGAGGCCACTATGGGAGTAAGTTATTACCTTGGCTAGAG